ACCCCCAGCTTTTGTCCGGTCAAGCTTCGTGCAAAGGCTTTTGGCAAGAGTGCATCCGACATGTGCCATGGCGTCTTAGGACAATCAGGTGGTCTTTGCAACAACAGACCACAAGCCAAGCTGCGCCAAGGCCCTCGCCCATAACAGAGTCCCGCATCCCGATGATGTCCGAATGCACCTTGTAGATGTGCCGGCGCGACTCCATCTGATGAAAGGAGAAGGCTCGCGTGGAGGGCAGCGGGGGCGAGGTCCGTGTGGAGGCCGGAGATGGATGAGAAGCGACAGCCTGCCTGTGTCATCCGCGAGTTTGGTCGAGGAGCAGGTGCCGCGTGTTTATGCCGCCGGCCAGCGCGGGCCGGGACTGGGGGTGACGCGGGCGTTGGGCGACGCCGCCGCCAAGTCTTGTGGAATCATCGCCACACCGCAGGCTTGCCAAGAGTTCTCGGGGGGGAACCCCTTTTCTCATGTCTCTGGAAGGTACACTATCTACGCCTTGATGCGAGCAAACAGGCCCCCCACGACGAGTGTCGGAGTGACACTTCCTTCCGTCAGTGGCATATGCCCGCACGAGGCGAAAGCCGTGTTAGCGAGCGACGGCCGCGACCTCGACCTGTGTGATCCGACTGCCTCAACCGCAGCTCATCCTGCTTTGCCGCCTGAGGCATCTGGGAGGTGGTGGAGCAAAAGGACTTGCCCTCTCTGATGCTGGATGGCGCCCCCTGGCCGATCAGGGTGCCTGTGCGGTAGCATCGCTTTTGCTGGCCAGCGCTCCGGAGGCAGACACTGCCAAGCTGCAGTCAGCCGCGTTTGAGGGTTGGGCCTCGCTGACAGGTGAGGCACTCAGGTCGCTGCAACTTCCTTGGGGATTCGAGCCGTGCCTTTGCGGTCTTCTCTTGCAGTCTGAGCAAGACAGGAGGCGGCTACCGCGCTGGCACCTTAGAAGGGCTGTGAGGCAGTGGCATAGTGGCATGGCAGTGACATTGCCAGTTGCACCCGGAGCTCAGGACGATGTTACGAGCATCGTGATTCCGCTGGGCTGCTAAGCAGCGCTTGCGGTCGATTCATATGCGAGCTGCGAAGCAGCCGTGTTACAGTCCGTGATGGACACGACGAGCTGTTAAGCAGGCGTCCCATTTAGAGCAGTCGCGGCCCACAGTGCGTGTACAGCATTGTCCTGTGCTCAGAGCCACCCAACTGAACACGAACACAGTCTAGCTCAATCTGGGAATCTATAGGGCAGTTCAACTCCGATTTGGGAGGGTTTCGAAAAATTCCCATGACAGGCTCCCAGACAGAGATGGGACCCAGTCGTCCAATCTCTGCACAGGACTAGCCTGGCCGATGTGCGCGTGGTCGCGGAAATTTAGTGCAGGCAGAGCAAGGGACTTCCGAGAACAGCTGTGGCATGAGCGGAAAGAAACCCGGGTGACCCGAACCTTCTCCGCAGATGTGTTCAGAAGGATGGGCCGATGGAGGATCCTTGGTCCTGGGAGGGGTTTGTGTGTTCTCGGGATTCCGGACGTGTCGGCGGGCTCGAGGTGGCGGGGGCTCCACGTTGCCGCAATCGCACCACTGATGTCCCCTCTATCGCGGGCAAAGGGTGTTGCAGCACGAAAAGGCATCAGGAATCAATCGATGGTACAGGGTTTGCGGAAGTCATGCGACAACAAAGTAGAAGTGTTCAGCAGACTTGGGGATGGAATAGCTGTTCTGGCAAGCTAAAGCTTGCGCACCTGTTAGCTCCTGGCATGAGTGGAAAGAAATCCGTGTGACCCGAACCTCGCCATGAGGTGTTAAAGTCTGCCAGAGCGTCTTTGATTTGAGGGAGTTGCCCAGGCGTGCTCAGTTTCAGGGCACAGTTCTCCGAACAATCTGGCCTGCAGCGTCGAAAAGCAAGAGAAGCACCGGCGCAAGCATTGAGAGTCGCATCGTGAGATGCTGCATGCAGTCCAGCAAGTCTCTAGGCTTTTGCCACTAGAAAAGCCAACAGCACGCCACCGGCAGAACGAAGCAAACAGTCTTGACATTTCACACGAGCTCTTTCCCCAGCATGCGCAGCACGATGCGAGCCGTGATTTGTTCGTCGCAGGCCCGTACTCCGAAGTCGAAGCCTGGTATGAGTCTAGACTAGTGAGTGCGGCCCCTCTCGGGCCTCAGGTGCTGCAGAGGTACTGCAGTGCAGTGTGTTCGCATTTCGTAGAGCTGAAGATCGCAGTGGGAAGGGGGTCCTTGCAAGTTCTGTGTTATGGATTTCGGCTTCTCTTCTCGTGCTTGGGAGGCAGCCCGTGTGGAGCATGCTTAGAGCGAGGCGGGGACCCGTTCACTGGAGCCGACTCTGCTCGCTGCTCTAAAGTGAGCGAAGGAACGGACTCACGCTTTCCAAGCTCCTGCCAGCCTCTGACAGACTTCGCTTCGCCCCTGTGCTTTGAGAACAGGCGATCGTTCTTCTCGGCCACAAGATGATCAACTTCTTCGGCTGGAATGGAGGCCTTTGAGTCTTCGAGCTGCGACCCCGACCCCTATGCAGACCCAAACTCCGCATCTTTTTGGATGGAATCCCTTGTTGTCTGGCTTCTGCTAGCGTTCTGTGCTTGCAGGGACTACGGCACCCTCCAAAGTCAGGCGGGATATCAGTCCAGCTTCATTGCTTAAGGCTTCGGTCTGGTGCATGCGACGCTCTTAGTGTTTTGGCTCTATGGGGTTGAAGGCTGCATGCAAGAGCAGCACTTACAGCAAACGGTCGACTTCAGTGCAAGACGCGGAGCTTCCATGTGCTTCGCCTGTTGCAAGGCCACCGAGCCCCAACGATGCTGAGGCAGAAGTCGCTGAAAGGATTGAGGTTGATGTTCACATGTGTGCAATAGTATGAAATAAAAGAAAACATAGACTAATCACATAGTAGTGCAATATGTCACACAATATCATAATATAGTCATATAATAAGACACTATAATACGATGTTCTGCAATATGATGAAAGATGATACAAGATAAAATGTTATAATATGTTATAATACAACATGTAAAGACAAAGAAACAAACAACTGGACAAACACATACGATATTTGTATACATACATACATACATACATACATACATACATACATACATCCATACATACATACAATATGAAAATATACATACACGCACTCGCTCGCATATATATATATATACACATACACCTCTGTACATACACTTATATATATATATATATGCATATATGTTTATATGGATATGTGGATAGCTATACATATATATACATACACACACACACACACACACACATATTCCTTATAGCTGATGCACACACGCGCGATCCCTGCTCTCAGTTCGCCGCCCGCCCACACCCCCCCCTCCATGGTATCCCCCTCCCCCGCGCACCCGGGCCCAAACATGGCGAATCCCAGTTCTCCAACCTGTGACTGCGCGCACTTCTCCAACCTGGCGGCTCCAAAACCGTCAACTGTCACGAGGATCTAGTGCCAAACACACCCGATCCTTGTGACAGTGGACACTTTCCAACCACGACTCCGACATGAGGGTGTTAGAAATGAACTGTCAGGAGGATCGCGTTCCTGACAGGCCCGGTTCCTCTGACAGTTGACCCAGGAAAGGAACAGGATGATGATGAAGATGGAGATGACGATGATGCTGACCCGAACCTCGGGGGAACCGCCTCGGGGGAACCACTCCATAGGTGGAGGGCGAGGGGGTACCAACCATTTCAGGGGGCCGGCCGAACCGGGATCACACACACACACATGTTTCTATGCATATATATATATATATATCCATGTATGTATGTATGTATGCATGCATGCATGCATGCATGTATGTAACGTATGTATGTATGCATGTATGTAACATATGTATGTATGTACGTATGTATGTATGTATGTATGTATGTATGTGTTTACGTATGTTTGTATGTATGTATGCATGTATGTAGGTATGCATGTACAAACATACATGTGAATCTATATAAAGACGCATCCGTCCATGCCTGTGTGGATGGGTGGATGCATGCATGCGTGCATGCATTGTTTGTTGGATGCATTGATGGATGGATGCATTGATGGATGGATGGAGGGAGGGATGGACGGACGGATGCATGCATACATGCATGCATACATGCATGCATGTAGGTTATGCATGCATGCAGCATGCATGTTATGCATGTTGTGTATGTTGTGTATGTATGTATGAGGTATGTATACATGTGTGTGTACGAGTGCATGCCTCCGTGTTGATATTTACACGTATGCAGATACAGATACAGTACACATGCATACACAGCGACACAAAATGAGGATGCCCACATATGCACAGGGCTTGTGTGTAAAGATACATGATAAAACACACACCGGCTATACTTATGCATTCCAAACAGACAGACACCCATACATACAGGTATGTCTGCAGAGGTATATACATATGTACGCGTGTGTGTACAAGCGTGAGTACTAGTGTGTGCACCAATGTGTGCCTGTCTGTCAGTGTGTCCGTCCTTCCGTAGCTGCTTGTAGGTAGATAGGTCGGTAGGTCGGTAGGTCGGTAGGTCGGTAGGTAGGTCGGTAGGTCGGTAGGTCGGTAGGTAGAGGGTCAGGTAGGTAGGTAGGTAGGTAGGTAGGTAGGTAGGTAGGTAGGTAGGTAGGTTGGTAGGTAGGTAGGTAGGTAGGTAGGTAGGTAGGTTGGTAGGTCGGTAGGTTGGTGGGTAGGTCGGTAGGTTGGTAGGGTAAGGTAGGTAGGTAGGTAGGTAGGTAGGTAGGTAGGTAGGTAGGTAGGTAGGTTTTCTGGGGTTCGCTTCTCTTTACTACCGGGCTCATGCTCCCGTGTGAATGTCTTGTTGCCCTGTGAGCAGTAGAATGGCACTGCGAGGCCAGAGCGCTTCAGGGAGAGCTTCTGGAGCTTTGCCAGGAGCCTTTTGTTTGTGTGCACGCACTTGTACAGGGGATTATTTCTGGCACTAGCGACTAGGCTGTAACGCACGGCAAGAAGGGGCTGTGTTTCGTTGCGTGCCGCCTGGAATTTCTGGGTCGAGGTAGGCGTGCTGCCTCCGGAGCCCTTAACAGTTCCCGAGAGATGCTGCGCGTTTGGAGCCTGGCTGGGAAAGAGCTGGCCGTTTTGGCCCTGGAAGAGGTGGACGACGTCAGAGCCTTGAAAGAAGAATTACAGCAGCAGTATGGGTTCTCACGGTTCAGGCAAGTGCTCCTACAAGGTACCGAAGCTTTGAGCGACTGTTGCAAACTGAAACGGCCCGTTGACCTGCAGCTGGTCCTGAGAGACTTTGAAGCTTCCAGTCTTGAGGAGGCAAACTCAATGGTATTCCTTGTGAAGCATGACATGGCCGTGTCGGTGGAGCAGATGTTGCAGCGGCCCCAGGACCCCAATTCGGCCGACGTCTTTGGTAGACTGCCCTTAGCCGTGGCACAGCAGCGCGGACACGCGAGCATCGTGCAGCTTCTGCTGGAGGCAAGGGCCAACGTAGACAGTCCTGCACTCGACGGCAGCACGGCACTCCTACGGGCATCGCGGCAGATGCAGATCGAGATAGTGTGCTTGTTGCTGAATGCCAAAGCGGATACCAACTTGCCCGGCAGCAGTGGAGATACGGCGCTGATCCACGCATGTCGCCGTGGCCCGGCAACAATGGTTTGCAAGCTTCTGGAAGCCGGGGCAGGCGTAAACTTGGCAGACGTTTACGGCGACACGCCT